TGCTCTCCATGGATTTACTCCGTGTGTTTCAGGCTCCGGCGGTCTGATTGGATTTGTGGTTGGGCCTGGATTTGGCATTAAGAAGGATGGGTTGGGTCACCGGTCTCGGCGTCGCACTGGTCATTGTCGTCACCGCTGGTGCTGCTTTGGCTCTCTGTAGACGGTAATTGTCAAACGATTTCAAACTTCATCCATCTATCTTGGAATCTAATCGATTTAGAAACGAACGTTCTGACATTCGAGAATTTCTAATTAAAAAGATTTAAGAATATAGCAGGCAACTTTTCTTTTTTAAATTCTTTTAAAAAACTTCAACGACGTATAAATTTACAAATTAAAATTTATAATCAATTTTCCATGACCTTTCTTCTTTCACGCTTTCTCAATAAAGAAGTTGAACAACTATGTATGTGTGTGTGTGTGTGTGTGTATGTATATTGTTTTCCTTTCATTTTTTTATTCTATAAGCAGATCAATAAATTTGAAAGATTTTATAAACAAATTTTTTCCTCAGATTTCGATCGATCATTTTCTTACGATAATCGAATCAAGACATGCGTATTTATTTTTTTCCCACATAAGAGACAAATATACTGATAATACAATAATGTATACTCTTGAAAACTGTTAAGTGTTACACGTGCAACAGGTTAAGAGGTCATTCAGCCAGCAATTGTATCACCAACCTGATATCGGTTCTTTCCTAGAAGTTCAACTTCCTTTTGATTTTCTTCTAATGGACGAATGCGAAGGATAATAATTTTCGATAAGGGAAAAAAAAAAAAAAAAAAAAAAAAAAAAAAAAAAAAAAAAAAAAAAAAAATAATAATAATACGAGAGAGAAATAAAATAAATCTAATATATATTAGAAATTTTCATTAGGATAATTTATCTTCATTCTCAAAGTTTTCTTAAACGTTCTATATTCTTCCCTCTGACCTCTTTAATAAGCTCATCTATATTCGCTTAATTATAGCACACTCTCGATGTCACTACCCTCCTTATTGGATAAACCTCCCTATCATTATAATAACATGTCTAATAATCGTTAATATTCGACATGATAATCAATAAGGATCATTCAATTAAACAATTTTATTATCTCTTATCACTTTATCAGATATTGCATCGGCTGGCAATGGGGTACTAGAAATATTTGGAGTATATTTGAAGAATGGCGACAGACATTATCGTGGCTATGGGCACCGCGAGAAGAAAAGGTACAAACTCTCAAAATTGATAAGTGAATAATTATAAAACTTATCTCTAAAAATATATTTAAAAAAGAAATCAATATTATAAAAGTAATAAATAAAAAATATCAATTAGCCTATAGTTTTATAATTACGTATAGGTACACCTATAACAATATGATTATATAAACATTATCTATTTGATTTCTTTTATTTATTTCTTTTATTTATTTATTTATTTATTTATTATTATTTTTTTTTTTTATAATAGGTTGGTCTCGTAAAAGCTCAACATCCAACAGCACAGACAATACCGGGTTTATATCGGCAAACTGGTAATCCTTCTCAACAGTTGTTACATAGTGATAGCGATTTGAGGCTGGATGCTCAAGGAGCCTTCACACGGTAAATAAGACAAACGTTTTTATTTTATTTCTTCTTTTTTCTTTTTTTCGTCTCTTTTTTTTTTTTTTTTTTTTTTTTTGTTCTCACCAAAAATTCAAGTGAAATTATTTTGAAAACTTTCGAATAATGTTAGACATGCCCGCACACATAAAGGCTTCCAATTAAACCATGAAGCCAAAAAGCTCCTATCGAAAGGCATCGTTTTACTACCCTCGCTAGATTGCACTTTAATGACTCGACCTTCATAGAAGCACTCAAAATAATCTAATGAAAGCATTAAAGGCTTTGCTCAAAGGCATCCACAACCAAGTAGGACCTAGCGATCCTACTAACGTTGATATAACTTAGAGTGACTATAACGTATGAAATTGATAGCATTGATTTAATTCGGTATTTGATCTTGACCTTAAAAAAAAAAAAAAAAAAAAAAAAAAAAAAAAAAAAAAAAAAAAAAAAAAAAAATTTCCATTCAAGATGTATAAAATGATTTGATGAACTATCTACGAATGAATTATAAGTGTCTAACAATTGTAGAATATGTTATATAATCGTAGATTCGAAGCTGTGGATAGAGATCTACATCCACCACTTGGTACTGGAAGTAGTAGTACTATACCACCTCAGCCATTAAGGCCAGCACCGCAACCAAGGCCAGCATCACGTCCAAGACCATCTCCTCTTCAAACCCCTAGTACAGTTGATTATATACGAATGCAGGAATCTGGTCCAGGTCCACTGACACCACCACCATCCTTGCAAAGAACTATTCCACAATCGAGAGCAACCGCAGCCTCAGTCTTCGTCTTCCAAAATGAACCGGTGAAGAATCATGGCTTTTTCAAGCCACCTAATGATCACTCGGCCTTCAGATTCGATGGCGAAGGAAATACTGGAAATATGTTGCCTGAAAATATTCAAATGACAGCTTACACTATGCAAAATCATTCTGATTCGAGAATGGGAAGATACGAAATGGATATGACTGAAGATAGAAGAAAGGACACTTATGATTCACGGTGTAATCCTTACAGACAATTCGAGACGAGTAATAGATACAATGTTCATAATACACCTATCACATCTCTCGACGTTAAAATTAACAATGAAGAAAATACGTACGCCGGTTATGACGTCGTTCAAAGAACTCATCAATTGAGACAACATGTAAGGAATGACTCTAGAGGATCACCAAGTAGTTTTGGTTTGACGAATCACTCAAACTCGACCAGTCAAACGATCATGGAGTCCATTTATGGACCTCAAACTCTCTGCAAGATGCTTCAAAATGCTCAGAACTTGGAGAACGAGTTGGACAGAAGAAACAACGAGATTCAAAGCATCGAGATGACACCTTTCAGAAGTTCGACGCTTCAAAATGACGTTGGCTCGTCTTATCTATACCATGATAATTCATCCAACACTGGTCTACAAAGAGTCTCTCAATATATCCAAAGTCTACCTGATCATCCTGCCTTTGACACGATCAATGATCATACGTCGGAACGGGAACAAATACTTTACGCCAATGACATGCAAGCACAGATCAACTCGTCAAAGATTAACAGCGAATCAGCATCTAGTCCTGTACCACCGCCACCTGCGCCACCTGATCCTCCTACGGACGTACTCAAAAAGAATGAACCTACAACGGGTGAAAGAATCTTCAATGCACTTCGATCAGTTACCTCGCAAAGTTATATCGATGCCTCGGAATTTTACAAGTGAGATTTCTCGAAACAATTTAATGCATAAGATAATTTTCTGGACCACATCTTGTGCATTATTTTTAATAATGAATGTTGATAGTGACAAATTTCAAAAAATTTTTTTATTAATATCATCTTATTATTTTTATATATATATATATATATATATATAAATATAAAACAAATTATAATATCAATCTCAAAAATATCAACTCATTGATAAAAATAAAATCAAACTGTACATATAATCTATTTAATAAGATATATAATAATGAATTATTTCTGATCCATGATCGATCTCAATCTAATTTTAATGAAAAAAATATATGAATCCTAAAACAAATATATTTTCAGTTCCGTTCTATCGTCGGCTCAACAAGTCCAACGATTTACCTTCTCGAGATCGCCAAGTATGGTGAACGAGAATACAGGAAGTCGTTTACAGAACGAGGTACGTGACATATACACTGAAACCGATTCGGACGCCATTGGCCTTGATGTTTCCAGACGTAGTTCCGATCTTTACAGCCCCGAACTAAACTTGGAAGCTCATAGAACTGCTCAGGAAGTAAATCATTTATTCTTCTTCTTCGTTCTTCTCCTGGATATTCTTCTTTTTTTTTTTTTTTTATTTTTTCTATTCCTCCATTTCAATGGAGAAAAAATATACAAAAATTTTCTTGCCTTTCAGGTATATAACAGCTTACAGGATCCACCATCTTCGCCTTTACTTTTGAAAGATCATAATCACGAGTCTTATACGTTCATGTCCGATCCAAGCTTCACTAGAACCTCCGAAGTAATTTTATCGAAAATTAATATTTATGATTCATATGACTTGGCAAAGAAATAATTGTTAATGTGTTTTTTTTTTCTTTTCTCTCGTTTTTGTTGTTTTTTTTTCTTTTCTTTTTTTTTTTTTTTTTTATTAGGACATCTTCAATAGTTTAGAACAAAGAAGGAAGAGTATGGAGAGATTAAATGGTATCCATGAATTTGTAGAACATGAAACTTCCGATACTTCAAGGTAAGCCCCTTTAAAATAAAAATTCTAATTGGCCTTTTAATCAAATCTTAAATACATAATGATCGAACAGACGGCGAAATAGTCAAGAATTATATGCTGCATTGGAGGAAGTTCAAATCAAAAGAAGATTATCGCAGGTATTTAGAAAAAAGAGAAAAAAAAAAGAAAAAAGGAAAAAAAATGTAATTAAATGGACGAATTAAAAAAATTCATTACTCTAACGTCGAACATTCATTTCATGATAGCAAAGTCTCGAAGAAAATTACATTACGAGTTATACGATGAACGAGCACGGTGAATCGAATTCCGGAAGTCGTCGTGGTTCACAGGGACCTGAACCTGAACCTCCGCCGGACGAATCTAATTTAAAAAGAGCAATAAGTTGTGAAAGTGTTTGTTCAGATACCAGTGTGGTATTGAACGATCTCGAGGAGGCACCTGTCGTGGGACTCGTTTGCGTTGGTTTAGAACACGAAAGATGGGGCGGACGTGGTACCGATGCTGAAGGTGACTTGGCAGTCAGTGTCCTTGAAGCTAGAGATCTCATTGCACCTGACGGTCGACCTGCACAAGACACCTTCGCGAGGTTTAGCCTTTTTCTTTATAAAAGTTTGTAGAAAAAGAAAAAAAAAAAAAAAAAAAAAAAAAAAAGAGAGAACAATTTAGAAATATGAATAAGCTCTTAAAAGAAAAATTTAATCACATTGATCACCATTTATAAAAATTTATAAGAGTAATCTAATTTGATAAATAACAATGTAAAGAAATAATTTGTAATTTATAAAACTAAAATAGATATATAGAGCTGTATAAAAGATATATTAATATTAAGGCCTAAATCAATAATAATATTTTTCTCTTTTTATATAAATTATAGAGTATGTCTATTGCCTGATAGACAAACACACGTACAAACACGTTTGTACAGAGGTTCTCCATCGCCAAGTTATCAAGAAAAGTTTCTCTTTCCTTTGGACGGTGGTCCAGCTGGAAGAACACTTCTGGTCGAGGTAAATAAAAAATAATAAAGTAAAATAATAACAACAACAACAATAATAATAATAATAATAATCTTAGAAGAAATAAAGGAGTTATCTAATATCGATGACACATGGATTTAGGTGTTCTCTGACGAATCGAGTATCGGTGGTGGCGCCTCCCTTATCGGTGAAGCTAGTTTAAGACTAGGTCCAGCGCTAAGACCACCTGCTACTACCTGGCTACCTTTAACAGGACCTGCCTTACCTACGCCGCACTTGGGAGAGCTCTTGTTCTCTCTGAGTTACTTGCCAACTGCGGAGAGGCTAACATTGGTCGTAGTAAAAGCTAGAAATTTGCGTGGTTCTAATACTATACCGGGTGATTTCTTTGTCAAGGTAATAAGCTTAAAAAAAAAAAAAAAAAAAAATAATAATAATAATAATAATAATAATAATAATAATAATAATATCTATGAAAAGAATTAAAATCAATTAGATACGTTGTTCTTTCTTTCTTTTTTTCTTTTTTTTTCTAATATTCTTGCAAAGGTTTACCTGCTGCAACAAGGAAAGAAAATGCACAAGAAAAAGACGTCTGTGAAAAAGGGAGAGAAGAGTCCCATTTTCAACGAGGCGATAATATTTAGTGTACCAGCTCACGCTCTACAGGTTTAGTATAATAATAATTAAAAATAAATAAATAATGAATAAATAAATAAACAAATAATTCAAAATAATTATCTCGTATAATAAATAAAACAGATCTTATATAATAATAATAATAATAATAATAATAATAATAATAATAATAATAATAATAATAATAATAATAATAATTCTCGTAATACAATAGAGGACTAATTAATAAAATTTATTCTTTATAAAAATTATTCTTTTTCTATTTTTTATATTTCAGACAATTCAATTGAGACTGACAGTAGCAGAGGTGCATAACGAGCAGACCACAACAAATACAAAAGCTTATTCGGTCGGTCACGTTATTGTTGGTTCCACTTCAACAGGCAAAGCATTAGCACATTGGAGACAAATGTTAACGGCATTGAGACGTCCCATTGCTATGTGGCATCCATTGAGAAAATGAGATCAGTTGGACATTGAGAGAGAGGAGGAGAAGGAGGATAAGGAGGAAGAGAAGGAGAAGGAGGAGGAGGAGGAAGAGGTGGAGGAGGAGGAGGAAGAGGAGGAGAGTGTACGATGGATATAAAGAAGACAAAATTAATGGAACAAGAAGAAAAGAGAGAGAAATCGAACGCTAACAGGCAAGAGCATGAAGTGCACAAATCAATTAGAGTTATAATAATTAACATGACAACGTCCCAATGTTTTTATATATATACATATATATATATATATATATATATATATATATATATATATATATATATGTATATATATATATTTTTAAACAACAAAATACAAAACGTTTCGAAATACAAAAATATTCGAATACTTTTTGATAATTCAATTATTTCGCAAAAAAAGAAAAATTAATAATAATTATTTGTTTTTGGTGACGATAAGAAAAGAAAAAAAGAAAAAGAAAAGAAAAAAAAAGAAAAAAAAAAAAAAAAAAACCAACTTTTTCAAATTAAATTCTACAATATTATCTAAATCATTCCGATCATGCAATCCTACTTGAAATGTTAACGATCAGATAAAAAAAATATGATACCGCATGATACATATTAAAAATATGAAAATCCTCTTCATTTTTAACATTATTAAAATTAAATGATATTTAATATTCTTCGCGTATACATTTTATATATTATCCAAAATGTGAATGTATCTTTCAAATTCACATGATCTCATGCTACGTTCTGAAGAGAAAAGAGAAGAAAAGAAAAAAGGGGAAAAAAAAAAGAAAGAAATAAAACAAAAGGTCGTCGAATATTTTGATGTCCTACCTTTCAATGTAAACACGCGATTTTCAAGTATAGGTAAAGTTTCTATTGAGCAAACTAAAACTGTATAAATACATATATAAGTTGATACAAAACGATTGAATGATCTGTTTAACGTATAGGACTCAAGGCCATCGATACACACCCCGTGACTCACAACATTACTAATCAATCGAAATACAATTGACGGAGTGTCGTGAAAATCATAGAAGAGAAAATTAAACTTGAACAATTTTAATTCGTCTTTGATAAATGGAACGAGCG